ATATCATCTTGATATAAACTTGTAATTATCTCTTCCTGTATACAGCAAATTCAATAATAAAAAAAAAAAAAAAAAAAAAAAAAAAAGAATTTTGATTAAATATCGAAGATGCTTCAAATTTATAAGTGAAAGGTTAGAAATTAGTGAAATAATTTGCAAAAATAAAATAATAAAAAAATACTACTAAAAATAGTAAGGTCAAACAGAAGGTTGTGTTTAAAATATTAAGCAAATATCAACAATACTTCGAATTCACAAGTGAAAGGTTAGAAAAGTAGTATAAAATAATTTAATAAATATAGAAATTCTTTTGTATTAACTTTAAAAGGCTTTTTATATATTTTTTTAAAATTTATTGTCTTTCTAATCTTGTTATCATTTTGCAAATCATGCATGTTTAGTTCTTAGTTAATTTAAAACTATATAACTTATCAGAATTTCATGATAAACTTATTATACTCATATAATAGATAGAAGAAGAAATAAATTATCAAAGATTACAGCTTATATTAGAGTTAAGAAAAATCCTGGTGAATTTAGAGTCAATAATAGAATTTTATTTTGTAACTTTTGTGATCACTCTATTAACTGAATATGAAAATTAATAGTTGACGATTATCTTAAGAGTAAAGCCCACAAATCTAACAAGGATGTTGGCAAACATAAGCAACATCAACAAATTATCATTGCATCTTTTTCATCTACTGAATCAAAAAAAATTTATAAATGATCTAATTAAATCCTTCATAATGACCAATATTTTCATAAAAAAAATAGATCATTTGCATTCTTTTTTAAGACATATTGTAAGAAAGGTAGCACTATTTCACAAGCATCTATATTACATTAATTATATTTTCCTCAAGTTTTTTATAGTCATTTTAAAAGTCTTAAATCTTTGTTTAAGCAAAAATATGTAGCAATTATAATGGATAAAATGACAGATAGCTGTTCACAAAGTGTAATAAATACTATATTCATATATAAAAATCATACAAAATTAGTTTCTGTTAATTTTCTTACCCAAGTCAATAATTGTACTATGGGTTAAACTCTTTTTTTAAATCTTTTTCAAATATGATATTCTATTTACTTTTTCTGAGTTTTTTTGTCAGATTTAGCTATATATATAAAGAAATGTTATTGGAAAGTTTTGCTTATCATGATGCTCTAATTAGTTTATATATTTTGCTGTAAACATATTTTAAATTTAATTGGGTATATTTAAAATCATTATTATAATTAGTGCTTTGAAATGGTTATCTAGGTAATTGATAGTATTATTCTATATCTAATCTGAACAAACCTAGATTTTTTGTATTAAATTTTTAATCTAATAATAAAAAAAAAGTTAATTTTAATTCGATACTTAAATAAGCTTGAACCTAAACAGTATAATGCACTTTTAAGTTCAGGTTTAAAATTTAAGTTATTCAGATTTTTTTGACTGTTTAGGAGCATTAATTATAGGATTGTTATCATTACTATATAATACAATTTAATTTTATTTTTTATATTGTAGTGATACATAACTACCTATTCTCATTTTTCTAAAGTTAATATGCTAATGACTAAAATTAAAGATACATTTTTAAGAAGTCCAGTATGTTATTATCGATATTTAGATTATTTACAATTTTATAGAGTTAGTTTTCTCAAAAAAATTCTGCTTCCCATTATAACTAGATAGAATTCTTGGTTTGAAATAATTTCATATACAAAAGATTATATTATTTATTAGGCTACATTTTTTCAAGATGAATTCAGGATTGATGAAACAGATGCATTAAAATTTATTACATTATTGTTACTAAATCCTAAAGATCTTGGCCTTGTTATGATTTATATTTACTTTATCAGTATTTTTTTAAAATAATTTATTCAAACTTTAGATTTTTTCTAACAAGAGAAGCCTGTATTTCTTCTAGTTGAAAGCCAGCTTGAACAACTTACCACTTATATTGAAACTAATATGAATGCAGAACATTTTAGTGTAGACTTGGATACATTAATTTTATTAAAATCTTTTCACTTAGCAGAGTTTTATCCTATTTTTCATAGTGCCTTTAGTACTGTATATCAAAAATTTTCTGCTTATATTCCTTCTCATCCTGGTCAACCATTGTTTTATGCATACCAAGTATTTGATCTGAAATTTTTTTATCTTGATAATATTACAAAAAAAGATTTTTGCAATTATTCCATTATATCAGAATTGGCTAATTCATCAAATAAACTATGTATGAATGGTCAATTTACTGTGGATTGAAGTATGATATGGTATTTAAAGAAATTATGCTAGATGAATTTTGGTTAAAGGGTATGGTGACTTAGTGAAGTTGGCAAGTTATCACATCTCTAAGCAGCAGGACTAGAGTTTGAATCCCACTAGTGACAAAAATTCAAATTTATAGAAAATGTATTTAGAAGACTATATCCTATTGGGTTATAAAACCTGAAATAAGGAGCACATCAGCTTGAACTGAGAGGCTGTGGAATATGTAGTATGATACACAAGTTATATAAAATTCAAGTGAAGCTACCAAATAAATATAGTGAATTTACAGAATACAGAAGCCTATTTGGGAAGATCTGAGTGGAGAGGTAGCACAGATCTTTGACAGTTACTATATAAAAAATGATCAATCAGATATTGAAAAACCGGACAGGACTAAGGTGTTTAGCAAAACACTATCTGCTAAATAACCAGAGGAAGGATTCTACCCTTCCAGGCTATAGGATTGGAAGTTTAGATTTCTAGAGATATGATAAGGAGTTTATAAAGTAGGTATTAGGGTTTGGATGAACTTTACAAGGGCAGTAGTAGGTAACTATAGTGGCCTCAGCTTACAAATACTTGTTCTCGAACTTAGTGTAAGTTACTGAAAAGGCCTAGTCTGAAAATGTATAGAACATAAAAAGATTAAGAGATATATACTACACCCTCTCTAGAGTAATCTAGTAAGTATGAGAACCCTAATGGATTATCTATAGAATTAGAGCACAAGTAGTGTAGCACATGTTGATCTGAGTAGTCTTCAATAAAGCAGTACAAAGTTATAGATTGGCGTAATTGAGGTAGTAGTGCAGGACAGAAGACATCAAAAGTTTAATTGGATAGCTTAAATAATAATAGATTATAGATACAGCATCTAATGTAAGTAATAGGTAGCTACTTAATTAGACACTCAAAAGATGCAGTATGGCTAAAATATACTCTCATTAATCAAGAATATACTACTAATATACAGTCAACTCCCTCTAAATGCATGTTTTCTAAACGCATGTTCTCTCTAAATGCAGGTTTAAATTCTGGGCCTACATATATATTTGATCTCTATAAATGCATTTTTCTTTATTGTTCTCTTAATGCATATTGCTAAAAGTCTGGTTCTAATGAGATGCGTTTAGAGGGAGTTGACTGTACTTAATAAAAATTTACCCTTTTGTAACATTGTGAAGGTTGAAAAAAAAAATTTTTGGTTAAATATGGCTAATAATTTGCTTTGCTTATCTGAAATTGCATTAGATTACATTTAGTTGCCGGTTTCTTTTTGTAGATAGCTATAACATTTAATATTTTTTTATTTTCATTCTTTTTATATATTTTTATTGAATTTTTTTTTGTTTTATATATTTTTATTTTATAATAAAAGATTTTTTTTATACTTTTATTATTAAATTTTTTAATATTAAAGTATTACAGAAATTATGCAAAATTGACAAAAATACTACAGAAATCATACAGAATTTATTAATTTAATATGCAGAATGTATAATTTAGTATGAACGGAATTGACCTATTATTGCTGCAAAAAATCATTAGTCTTGGAAATTATATAAGTAGATTATAGATTATATTTTGTTTTTATTTTTTGCTTTCACTTCGTTGTTTTGTTTTTTGCTTTGCTTTTTCTTTGTTTTTGCTTTGTTTTTTGTTTTGCTTTTTGCTTTGCTTTTTGTTTTGCTTTTTGTTTTGCTTTTTGTTTTGCTTTTTGGTTTGCTTTTTATTTTGCTTTTTGTTTTGCTTTTTGTTTTGCTTTTCTTTTTTTTTTTTTAGTTTTAAGGTGAGGCTTTGCTTGTATCTTTATTAATAATTTTTAGAATAGCAACAATATAAATTATTATAATGCAACTGCCAAAGCTTCTATTTATAAGAATTTGTAAAGCTACTACTATTTGTACCAGTACAAATAAAAATGAAAATTACATGCAAGAATAAGAGCTCAGATAGGGAAAAATTTATCTGCAACCTAAACCTACTAGAGTGGTCAGAGACTCATCTAGATTACTATAGTTAAAATATAATTTAAGGAGATACTGTACTTAGCCCAATGTATAGACCAAGAATTAATTTTCTTTTTAGCCTGGCCAGCCGGTGGACAGGCCCCAGTATGTGAGTATAGTTGGTCAGGTAGTTCATATAAACAAGAATATGTATACACCCTTTATATATGATTAGTATTTTTAGATTGCTGATTCAAAACTAAATTATTAGAATTTGAGTTATCAAGGTGTTGAGTGATATCAGAATTTTTGGAGTATATATAAGTTAGGTAGTATTGTTTTTTCTAATTAGCAAAGTTTGAGTGATAAGATTTCTATACTTGGTCATATAATTGTTCATTAATTTTAAGTAATAAGTTAATAATAGTGTTAGATGCTATTTTATAGGGAATATTATAATTTTGAATAGTTTGGACTAAAGATCGAGAAATTAAACCCTTGAGAGTAAGTTCTATATAATATAAGTAGGGTTGAGGAGCTATATTGTAAAATGTTTCATGTTTGTAGATTTTTTAGATTAGATCTTCTAGTTCACTGTTAGATATATCAAGTTCAGCAGAGTAAAGATAATTTGTGATAGTGGATAAAATTAATTGATGAAGTAAAGATGGGTTGGTGCAGATACACCAATGTGATGGAGAGTCTGGAGAGTTGCAGTGAAAGCAGTTATCACTAAGGAAGGTCTTAGGATATAATGTATAACAGAGAGAATATGTGGGAAGCTCATTAAGTAGTGTTTTAATTTTAAAGAACTTGAGTTGATTAAGTTTGAAGCTTGTAAGGTTGTATGTAGATTTGTGATTGTAGTTAAAGTAAAGCCAAGTAGATCTCCAATCTATTTGTTGGTTGAGTAAGGACCATTCATTGTTCTGTTTTTGAGATGACCACATTGTTAAAATATGGGCTTTACAGATGGTTTTAATAAAGTATCTAGTAGAATATTCTACTGGATACAATTCTTCTTCCTATTGCAGAATATGGTATAGATTATAGATATTAGTATAGTTAAAGTCTAGTGATGTTTGAAGCATATATTGTTTAGCTAAAGAATCAGCTAGATTATTAAAGGTGTTGTCAGTGTAAGCCTGAACTTTGTGAAAAGTAATATGTAAATTGAAAGATTGAATTAAATTAAGAAGAGAATACCACAGAGGCCATGTATTAAATTTTAGAATTTTGTTAGGATTAATTAAGGTAGAGTTAAGCTTAGTAAATTTGGAAATAACAGATTGTAAATCTGTATAAATATTGATAAAGGAGTTGCGTGAAGTAGTAGAAATTGCAGATAGAATAGATAAAAGTTCAGCTTTATAAGAAGTTGGCTATAAGTGAATCTTGGCTGAGAATTTGTGAGTTATTTGGTTATTGTTATCCACTTGGATCCAACCTATACCCATAGAGCATTGATTGGTGCCTATGTCAATAATTGATCTATCAGTATAAAAGTTGAAAGAGTTACAAGTAGAGTTGGCTATAGACATTTCAATTAATTTGTTTGTTTTATCATTCATATGAAAGATTTCTGAAGTAGCAGAGTGGCAAATAAGAATAGATAGAAGTGTAAAAGATAAACTAGAAGGTATTAGATATTTAACAGCAGTTGAAAAGATAAGGTTCATATAATTAGCATTAAATTTAAAAGAGTTAAAAGAAGTTCTTCCAAAGAACTGTATAGATATAATGGCTAATATATTAACAGTGCAAGCTGAACTTATTCTGTTTGAGTTGAGATGGCAGCCAGAACATAGGCTACAATCAATAGAAGAAAGTGGGTAGTATTCTGTATTTTTAGTATTAATATTAGTTTGCTAGTGAGTTATGGAGATTTGGTTAGAGTCTAAGAAATGTGTATAAATTTTGCCTATAATGATTTCACTATCATTAAAGGAAAGTAGCTATAGTTTAGAACTCTTAGGAATATTGTAAGTGTTATAGACAAAAATATTGACACAATGTTGTTAATACTGTGTATATAAGGAGCGCCGATGTTGGTTTTCAAGAACTGTATCTTCAAGTATTTAAAACCAAAGTGGTTTTTTACCTCTAAGTAGGTGTAAGATTTGGGAGAGAGGTGATTCCATTCTAGAAGGGTAGTATTATCAATTGTACATAATTGTTCAAGGTAAAATAATTTTAATTTTCTAAGTTAACGTTTGAAGGTGATATACTTGGAGTTGGTTATAAGTATTTTTTCTAGCAATTGAAAGTTATATTGGATTGTGTTAGCTATAGAATGTTAGAATTTGCTGTAATAGATATATTAAGATGTTTAAAGAGTTGGATAATCTTAAAGTTAAGTGTGAATTTGTTTGGACCATCTATTATAGGTTGTGGATGTTGAAGAATATTTATGATTGACCATAAATTGTTTTGAAGTTGTTGAAGCCTAATACAAGTAGTAGTTCCTAGAAGGTAAGTGTTATTTATATGTTGAAGAAAGTTGGTTATATGATACTGTAATTGGATATTCCAGATATTGCGAATATTATATAAATATAGATTTAACATAGTACTATTTGGAATCGATCTTGCAAGGTGGAATTTGTATTTGGCAATTGTAAGATATTTGGATAAGATATTATTGCATGTTGTATATGAGAGCACTATATTATGGATTTTATATTCTAGTATAGAGATAATGACAGTATTGATAATATATATAATCTGTTTATCAGTAATTTTCTTTGTGCTAGCAGTATATGCTAGTTAGAATGTTTCATTTTGAATAAGTTTAATCTGTTCAAATTGTTTGTTGTTAAGAATAAACCAGCAGCCCAAGAATTTAAAGGATTGATTAGCTGAAATAGGATGAATTGTTGAGTTTATAAAAGAGATAGAGGAAGGTTTAGAGTTGGTAACTAGTATAGATTTAGTTGGTTAATTTGTATGTTTGCTATCTGGTAAAATGATAAAGCAGTCTCGGTAATTTGGATCATTTCTTCTTTAGATTTAGCTATCTATAGTGTGTTGTCTATGTAAGCTAATACAGAAGTTGAGACTTGAAGATGCTGACTAGTTTTGGGTTGTAGGCTAGTTTGCCAAGAGGTAGAGAGTATATATTCTGTGAAATGTGAGGAGATTTTATGAATAAGAGGATCATAATAAATTCTCCAAAAAAGAGGTGTAATAGTTTCTCCTTGGTCAATACCATTCTTAATTGTGTAAGAGTTAGTAAGTTTAAAGTTAGTAATAACCTTGTTTTGTCGGTTAGATAAGAGATTGGTAAGTATATCAATAAGTTTTGGTGGCATATTAATATGTTGAAGAGATAGTTTAAACAAATTGAGATTAACAGAATCATAGGCTTTGCTTATATCCTGAGATAGAAGCCAAAGCTCTTTAGAGTTGCAGGCAGCTTCTTCGATTATATTATTAAGTATATAAATTGGAATTGCCTGTAAGTGCGATATAATTGTAAGGAGAAAGAATTTGGTGTTTAGTGAATATATAGTTTAGTCAATTTGTTAAAAGTTTTATATATAGTTTTTTGATGTGCTTCAAAAGACTAATAGGTCTGGTATTAGTTAGGTTATCATCAAAAATAAGTTTTTTGGAAATTAGAAAGATTCTTCTCTTTTTCTATTATTTGGAAATTGAGTTAGTAGCAATGCATCTGTTGAATAAAGCAGTGATTGCTTGCATGAATGGAAGATCAGCATGTTTAAGCATCTCGTAGCTGATTTCAGAGGGGTTACAAGCTTTGTTATTAGAAAGTTGTAACAGAGTAGTTGAAACTTCTTCTAATGTAAATTCACTGAAAGTACTATTATACTATTCAGATTGAATATAGGTTTTTAGTCTGTATTTACTTTGCTATGTGAAGTTAAATAGCTACTAATTGATATTTCAGTAATCAGTCCATTTATCAAAGTGTTGTTGTATATGAGATTTGATTTCTTGTATGTCTGTAATGATGTTGTCTTCTGTTTTAATATTATCAAATCTAACAGGATTTTTGTGCTGATTAAGGATACTATTGATCATAGCTTTGGGATTAGTTAAAAGTTCATCACATCTTTTAAGGATATTATCATTAATTTGTTGCCGGATTTCCTTAATGTTTTTGATATTACGAGTGTGGTATAATGCTTTCCATTCATCATTACAAGAGTTTAGCAAATTGGCTAGAAGAGAGTGTTCATTTAGTAGATGTGAGATATTTAATTGATGGGTACTGTTAAGTTGGTCAATAGTGAAGTTATGTTGAATAGATATAGGTGATTTGTTTTTAAGTGATATTTTCACTTGTTGAATTATATTGCAAAGCTTTTTAAGGTGATAATATAATGAGGATACTTTTAATAAATATATATGTTGAAAATTGTGAACAGTAAATTTTTTACTAAGGATATGCTGTAAAGCAGCATTAATGGTACTAGTTTGTATTTTGTGCCAAGTATATTCAAGGGTTTTGGATGTATCTACAGATAATAGAGTTTTGTTAAATTTGAGGTTAGATGAGATTTGTTTAAGTATAATTGCCATTGTTCATTGCTTATATTTTTGTATAGAAATACTCTTTTTCAAGTTTTAGTTGCAACACAGCGTTTGTCTATAAAGGCATGTGGAAATGTCTATGAAGAAATTAAAATTTTATAATCACTTCTAGAGCTTGTATTTGGGTCATCCATATAAAAGGAGGTAAAGTAGTGAAGGATTGAATAGTTGGCCCAAATGAAGTCAATACCACTTTAAGCTCTATTGCTTTGCCATGTAATTGTTGATGATTGGGCATAAGTAGCTAGATTATAT